CCCCAAAACCCCAAAACCCCAAAACCCCGAGAGTATATTTATCTTCTCAAAAGTTAAAAATAGCTAAAATACAAAAACTAAAAACTATAATGCAATTGATCAATGAAAAACTTTGCACGCTTCCACTATATACAACTCTAAAAGTTTAAGTAGTTGTTCCAAAATTTTAAACCATTAAATATGCGGTAGTCTTTGTTTTGTTCAATTCTTGTCTCCATCCCTAGTAATATGGACTTAAATCAGAATAGAGTGTAGGAGAGGAGATTGTTGACATATTGAATTTCAATGATGTATAGGAATCTATCAACACAAAATAGTATGATTTTTAATCAGATGAGGTCAATGTATGAATAATTGGAAGGACGCATTAGAAGTCAGCTGGTAGCTGGTACTATACTTCTTTCTGTGAGAAAACATCTGTATCAAAAATAGTGATAGCACTGCATGTCTGAGATTGGCATTTCATAGGCTTATCATAGAGAGTGAAGCAGAAAGATGGTCTGTTGTCAACACAAGTTGAATTGTCAAAGCAGTAATTATAGCCATTTCCAAGACATCTAGTACATGAGCCCTGATAAGCAGTTATGATTGCTGTTTGACAAATTCCAAAGTACAGTATAAATGTCAAAATTATTGCCAATTATTTCATTTTAATTATATTTCTCTAATATTATAATTATCTTATTAACTGTAATTAAAAATGATAAGAAGTCAATCTACTTTAAGTGCATAGAAAAACAAAAGAATATCAAGCTCTTAGCAAATGTATGTTCCAGTTTCCCATGATATCCCTATAAGAAATAAGTCCTCTCTTAATCATAATAACCCGAATACATAATCAGACAATGTGATTATTAACATAGATACTTCTCCTAGTGATTATATTGACGCTAGAAAAAGTTTTCATTAAAAGATGAATTCATATGCTAATGGACACTCATCCTAAATTAGGACTTCTGACGCTTAGGAGTCTCTAGTCCTAAACACTCGAAATAGGAGAATGAACAGCGTTAGTAAGCTTCAAAGAACAGATGGTTAAAATAAATAATCTTTGAAAAAGGTTGAGTTTTATGATAGAATGCGCTTCAGTCTAAATGATGCTCGATTAAAATGGGATCACACTTAATAGTCATTAGCACCAACTGAAAGTATCAATCAAGCCACTCATTCCTTGATTTAGGTTGCCTTTAAAAACAGGGAATCTATCAATAATTCGTAGATGCATTCATAAAATTCGAATAAGCAGTTGAACTAAAGCATTAGAAGTGCATTGAGTCATTCCTATCTCAATTATCATAACTATGGCAGAAAATTATAATTTCCAGAACCTTATAAGGCCTTCAATTATCAAGATAATTCACTAGAGAACTAGACAATCAGAATGAGAAGATAGGAACGCAGTATGTTGAAATAGAGATAGATTCAAATTAAAAGGGAAAGAGACTAAGCTTTGAAAGAGTGGCTGGCAAATGACAAAAAGAGTATTATAAGAGATCTAAATTTTTAAGATGAGTTTCAAATGTTTTAAAAGTTAAAGTAAAAGGCTGAGAATGCTAAGAGTGAAATAGCTGCACTTGTTATTTAGAAAGCTTATAGGATGCTTGTAATAAGGAAATAATATCTTCGCATTGTAAGCTATAGAATTAATATAATTATTTATAGAGAAAATTAAGGGAGAAAGCAGCAATTAGGTTATAAAAATGTTGGAGGAGGAAAAAAGTAGAGATTTAATTGAAAAAGTTGAGATATGGACTTCTAAATAAGGCTGCCAATACTGTTAAAAAATACATAAAGGGTTATCTGTAAAGACTAAGTAAATATTATTAAACTGTAGGATATTCAAAAGAGTTAAGCTAGTAAAAAACAGGATAAGAGAGAAATTTATGGAAACTTATTTCCAGAGAAAACGAATGGAGTTATACACTGATAGTCAAATTAAGATAAGATATTATTTTCTGAAGTACATTGTAAGAATTAAAATATTTCTAATTTTTCAATAGAGAGTTAAAAAGTAGAAGATGATACAGTAGAGATTGAAATAAATGGAGAGGGCAGCACATCAAATTTAGTTCTACCTCAGGGAGTATTTAGAATGTAATAAATTCACTAATATAATCTTAAATCTTATTAGTCAAGGATGAATTAAGAAAGAAATAACTAGAGGAAGAATTTAAATAATACATGCTTGGGCAAATTGAATTTGAGCAGTCAACTAAAATATCAGAATATCAAAACACTCAGTTAAAATCAACTTCTTTAAAGAGACCTAAAAAGCATTGCTGTCTAACTAATAGCTAGAGCTAGAAAGAATTTTCAATAAACAGAAGTAAAAAGAACAAGCTTAGCTTTTTGACAACTAATAAATCTGTTAAGCACTCCTTCAACTAATCGATTTCAACTTTAAATAGATTTAAGGAGTCATAATAAATATACCAAACAACTGCTGATAGAAGGCTTTAGCCCACTTATGACATTACTGATAACTTTAACCTAGAGATAAATTAAGGCGCAATTCATGATAATCTCACAACTAAATTTGTGCTATCTCCTCCAAATGAATTGGCTAGTTTGAATGAAGGTGGTGGCAGTATAGCAATGTCTAGAAAACATATTTAGCCATAGCTCCGATAAATATAAACAATAGCTTCTTCAAATGGAATGATTACATCATAGAATAGTATAATTAGTATATCTAATTCTAATAACAAGTAAACTACATCAATTGAATTAAGATAAAAAAGGAAAGTTAAGTCACTAAATATGCTTTAAATGGATGATTATGTAATGGCTCTCAACATGCATCATTAGTTTTACACTAATGCCAGTTTAGTAAGAGTACTAGATGCTACTGAAGAGGAAAGAGATGGATATCAGCAGTATTTGGAATAATGCAAAAAGCAAAAATGTAGAGAAATGGGATATGTAGACTATTTGCTTAGAGTAAGACAGTAATAAGGTGACCTTGAACGAATTAGGAGATCTCATCTCGACTTTGTTTCTAAGTAGATGTAAGTAAAACATATTTGTAGCAAAATCTATTTTAGAGACGAACATGGATAGAGTAGAAGCTTTCATTAATAGCAAAATCAGATAAATGGGAAGGTCAACAGGTAGCGGGTAAAAAGTCAAAATATGGATCGTAGGCCAATGGTCCACAGCATAGTAAAGAATAGTTTCCAATCTATTAACCAAAAGTTTTAATGATTATCATCAGAAATTAAATTATAAAATATACTTCATTTTTAATCCTAGCTGTTATATACATTCATGGGGTTTTGGGGTTTTGGGGTTTTGGGG